CGGCCGGCCCGTGCGGTGCCGGGGTATCGCGGCGGCTTCCGATTAACTCGACACGGAAGCTCTGGGAAACCTGCCAGAAAAAGATAAGAAAGATTAAAAAAAAGAAAAAACAAACCCGACAAAACCAGCAACCTACTCTGGCCGTCGGGTAGCGGTGCATAAAGAGAGGCTGGCAAAAAGGCAGCCGAATAAAACCCGAAAGTAGCAGACGGCGGCTTCCGATTAACTCGACACGGAAGCTCTGGGAAACCTGCCAGAAAAAGATAAGAAAGATTAAAAAAAAGAAAAAACAAACCCGACAAAACCAGCAACCTACTCTGGCCGTCGGGTAGCGGTGCATAAAGAGAGGCTGGCAAAAAGGCAGCCGAATAAAACCCGAAAGTAGCAGATTTTACCAGGTCAAGATCAAGGAGATCATAGGAACAGGATAACAAGTGCTTAAGCAAGATAAAGAGTTCGTGCTCCGCTTTCCAAACCCGCTATTATGTTAATTTGCCAGCAGCGTGTGCCTCTATCGCCACGGGGTGACCTGGGGAAAGGCAGACCCGCCGGGCAGCCGGCGGGTGCGAGCACACCCCCCTTCTGCGCGCTGCCCTGGCACCAGCCCTTCGAGGGGGAAAATCTCAGCTAGGGGAGGCGGTTTAATAGAAGGAGGCATAGCACTGATTTCCTTGCCTGTCTTGGCTTTTTCTTTCATCATCTGCATCATCTGTAGGCTTATGCAAACATGATCTGCTCAGCCGCTTCTTGAAAAACAGGCAAATATTTAAGGCTTCGAGCTAAGGGTATGACGCCCAGTGTTCACGTAACCTGCTGGGTTTCTCCCCGCTTCTTGCATTTGCCCAGCATTCGACATGCAGGTCTGCTGCAGGGGGAGGAGGCAAGGACACAGAAGCCAAACTTGAATACTTAAAGCAAATAAAGGCTCCTTGGAGGAACGCGTGCTTTTAGACAGGCAAAAGAAAATAAGCAAAACTTAAGAATATGTTGATCTTGTTTGGTTACTGTGTAGTCTTCCAAACTATCCAGACTTCAAGACAGTCATCTTAAAATACATTATAAAGAAAACATATTTTGATATTAATTAGAAAAAGTGCACACAAACCAAGACTGGCATGTTCATAAAACTGTTCTGACAATTATTAGCAGGGATTTTTTCAGTTTAAAAACCTGCAGACTTTCACATGTATGCAATATGTCTAGTGATAATAAACTCCATGCTAACTTTTAGAAGTCACATACAGAGCCAGAAAACCAAATTCTTGTTCCCACGGAAAGCCCGATATTTAGAGGAGACAAGTAATTTTAGTTTTAGAATGAATTTTCAAAATTGCATCAGAATATTCAGTTTCAGCACATTTTAAGTTAGTTTCATTTTTTATGCTGAGAATCCGTTACATGTGATACTAAAGTGAAAACAGCAAATCTAAAATGACCCCACTGCATGGGAAGTTTGGATTTTTCTCTCAAAGTTTTCCATCAAGGTCTACGCGTTCCTGCAGTATATTTAAACGTTGCTCAAACTGCATTATTTAGGGTAGGGGTGAGGTTCTGTGAAAAATGTTTACAGCAAGGATCATTTCTAAGAAAATCGTTTGAAAGGGTTACGTACGCACACGCATCTTACTTTAAATGACAGGTATCCGAATGTGCAGGCTAAAATGCAAGAAGAAGTGGATAGGATTGTTGGAAGAGACCGTCTGCCATGTGCTGAAGATCAGCCTCACCTGCCCTACATCATGGCTTTCTTGTATGAATCCATGCGTTTCAGCAGCTTTGTGCCTGTTACTATCCCACATGCCACCACAACCAACACCTTCATAATGGGCTACCTCATTCCCAAGGACACAGTGATTTTTGTTAACCAGTGGTCAGTGAATCACGATCCAGCAAAATGGTCCAACCCAGAGGATTTTGATCCAACAAGGTTCCTGGATGAGAATGGATTCATCAATAAAGATCTTACTAGTAGCGTGATGATTTTCTCATTGGGAAAACGTCGGTGTATTGGAGAGGAGTTATCCAAGGTGCAGCTGTTTCTTTTTACCTCCATACTGGTGCATCAGTGCAATTTTACTGCTAATCCAAACGAGGACCCTAAAATGGACTTTACCTATGGGTTGACCATTAAACCTAAGCCATTTACCTTGAATGTTACGCTGAGAGATACTATGGATTTGCTCGATCAGGCTGTCCAAAGACTGCAAGCAGAGAAAGCAGCCAATGAAAATCAGCTGTCAGCAAATGCCTAAGCAACAAACCTTGCATCTAAAGATAATCCCTGTCTCTCTTTTTAGACTTAAATAAGTTATAGTTTGTTCTCGTGATCTTTTTGGAAAATAGCCAATACTACAAGTTACAAGAGCAGGAAGGAAAACTGCACAAGGTATAATTCAGTCCTCTTTTTAATTCTAGAAGGAGAGCCAGGGGAACAATTTAATATATTAAATGATAAAACATATGCAATTTGAAAGTAAGCCTTTTCTTTTCTAGCTTGTTCACAGAAGTCGCCATTGTAAAGTGCTTTTTATCCACTGGCTGGTTGGAGCATCTCCAGGAACGGTTTGTACAATCCTTTCTGTGCCTTAACTCTAAGTTTGCCTTCAGTGACTCCACATCCCAAAGTGAAATCTCTTATTGAAAAAAGAAAAAAAAAAAAAAAGAAAAAGGGGTTGCTCAGAACACTGCAGCCTGCCTCTGAATTCACTCTGCTGGAAACTGCCATAGGCACATGGCAGCTCCTGCGTCGTGACTGCTGGGGTGTACGTTAATGCCCCGATAATAAAAGTTCAAATGATCTTTGGTAAAATGACAATGTAAGTCTTGCCTTTAGCATTCCAAAGTGTTTACATAAATGACTAAAAACCAGACTTGCTTACAAGCACATTTGAAAATAAAATTCATATTTTATATGGGAATGAACAGAATGTCCTAATATAGTACCTTTGCATTAAGTTTTGAAAGACCAGATTTGATATGTCACCAAATAGCAAGGGTGATACAAGCCATATGCTAATCTCTTTATTAGCATATTCATGAACAAAATAGATATTTGAATTACAAAGTTTTCTAAAGGTACAGCTGAACTTTGTATTTCTCTAGTAAAGAGTTAATATCCCTGGGCACATAGGTAAGTCCAGTAAAATCCACATGGGCCAAGGTATTTAGAAGTGAGAATTTGGGGGTTTTATATTAAAACTTCCCTGCCACAAGCCTCAAGCAAAGCGTACAGCAAATACACCCCTGCTCACTAGTCATTCTGTTAGGTTGAGTCAAAAGGTATATCCAAAAATCAACTAAGTACTTTCAGTACGATTTGCTTGGAACAAAGCCTCAGAAGGAAAACTAACATTACATGTCCTAATTAATGCACCCATTAACTGAAGAAAAAGTACTTTTTTTTTTATGTCCTTTGCCTCACAAAAATTTTAAAAGAAAACAAACCAACCCAAAACTAGTATTTTAAAGTAAAACACACACGTGAAACTTTATGGCCTTGAACCTCTGGCTAATGTTTGTCTACACAAAGCTGCATGTATTTCTCTAAAAATCAAACAACCCAATGTAAATGCCTGATTTTGAAAAGTGTTGGGCAGTTCTTTGGAGCTGCAGATCACCTTCAATTACATATGAAATCCATCAGAAATGAGAATACCTCACATGACTTGCTGTGTTCAGCCTAGTACTAAACAAGGTATTAGTAGAGCTAGAAGAATAAGGGTGCAATGCTACACAGTAAAGTAGCTCTGCTGAGACCTAAGCAAGTAAAGATTTGCACTGGGTCTTCTGATAGATGGCCAGTCTTCGTCACGTTGGCAGCAGTGACAGAACTCACAGTGACATGGGGAAGAGCAGGGTTAACAACACGATCCTGATCTTCGTAAGTAGAAGCTTCGCTACCGATTTAAAAAACCTGAATCAAGCCTAAAAGCACTGCTCCTTAACACCACACAGTAGTAATGTACCTGTTTAAAGTCTCTGACTTCATATGGCATCTATCTTCTTTTTTTTTTTTAGAGCTAAAAAAGCTTTCTGTTACATACACAAGGAGTAACCTCAGGTGTTTTTCTGAATTACGTACAAGTTTGTGATATCCCAGAACTTAGCCTATACCTGTGAAAAGCTTTAAGATACTCAGCATTTTCATATGGAGATCTACATTAGATCAAATGCTAGCAAGACAGTTTTCCTTGTACCTTTATAAGTATTGTTATTCAAAAAAATATAAAGGATGTAACCTACAACTGAATAGTTATTCTAACGCAAGGATCACCAATTCATATCTTAATAAAAACAGCTTTTGCAATTTTGTACTCTTCCAAAAGCTTTAACTGTGCATTGGCTACTAATGCAACGTCCGTTCACACTGCTCGTGTCTGTGAGGGGGTCACACGCTATATAGCTGTTGGTCAAATAATGCCTCATATAATCTGTGAAGTTACTCAAATTTAGTAGCACCCATTTAGAATGTATGCAGTTGTTCAGTGAGCTAACTTTTATGGTCATTTTGAGATGTATCGTTGTGTTACCAAAATACTAAATAAAATTATTCTTACACTGCCTTTGCTTAGTTTATGTATGGCTTTCTAACATCAAGATAAACAAAATTATTTCTGATTTGGAAAGCAGTATTATTTTAGATATTTGTTCATATACTTTTCACCTTCTTCCCATTTCTGGATTTTAAGGTTTTTCTCCATCTTGCCCTTACAGCTTCTCAGGTCTGCCTGCTTATTCATACCTTGCCATCTGTGTTCAACTTCCTCATGCTCCTTGCTAAGAACATTGCTGCTGCTCGTCTCAGCATCGATCTGAATTCTCTCATGTCTTTTGCTTCCTTCTAATACCTGTTAATCTCTCCTCAGCCTGCACAATCTCCTACGCTATGTTCTTCCCTCTGGCATTTCAGTTTACTTCCACCTCCCCTTATTTCAAGCCCACAGACTGGTTTTCCTTCCTCTTTTTCCCCTCCTGTATCTAGTGCTGGCATCTATATACTCCTGATGCGGGATCCCCACCACTGCCCTTGGGACCAATTTGTGCTGGTTTACCCTTGGTGTATAGTCAGGACTGCCGGGAAGGAAATCTCAGGGCCAAACAGGCCTTAACGCGTCCTTGCAGAGCAGCCTCTCACGAAATCAAGGCAATCCTGTGGTGAAGGGTGGCTGTTACTGCGTATGTAAAACATTTCTTCATGATGCAGCAGCTCCCCTCCCCGCCCCCGCTTTGTCGTCTTTTCCCCAGTCTGCTACGCAAGCGTGCTTACTTCAGGGCCATCTTAGAAAAGACCTTCACATTTTCCCTAACCCCAAGGAAGTGGAACAAAAGCTGGGTGGGACAGAAGGCTGGGCAGACTGACTAGCAGTAGTTGCCTCCTAATTTGGGGTATTTTCAAGCTGGAGTTTCTCCCTAAGGGGGCAGGATTCTAAGTACAGGCTGAGTTGGTGAAATCAGAAGGAGCACAAGTTGAAGATGACTTACAAAGACCCCCTAGAAGTAGCTAAGGACCTGTGGAGTAGGTGTAGTGTCCAAAGATACCCCATGCAGCGCATACGTGGCTGGGGCTGACCAGTGGGACACAGCGTAGATACAGAGCAGGCGTCCTCCCTGGGTAAAAGCCAAGAGCAACTTCATACAGTCAGGAGATGCTGCCACACCGTCCCTGCTTCCCGTTAATTTCTAGGTATTTTTCTGCTTTACCAGCTGTCCACAGCTGAAGTCTAGACTCCCTCTTCAGTGTTGACAGGCACATTTTTATAGCAAGACCTGCTTAGTGCCAAAAGATGCAGTGCTGATGCAGCCAGCAGTTGGCACGAAGAAAGCATTCTTGGAGAGATTCTTGGAGATCACTGCAAATACTATTTATAGCAGTTGAGTAGGGAACCAAAAGTTTCTGATTGCCCACTGTAAGCCAGTACCAAGTGTTAAGGAAGACTAACTCAGCAAATTGGCTTGGGCTTTTTTTTGTTTGTTTTTTTGTTGTTGTTGTTGGGTTTTTTTGGTTTTTTTGCATTCTGTATTTCCATTTTCCATCTGTTTCATTGGAGCCGTTGGTAGAAAACCTATCATTTTCAAAACTAGGCAAGGTCACATCTAACAGCAAGTCATGCGCATCTCATGAGATTTTGTGTTTGCACTGTCACTGCCTCCCTCACCAACCTGTGACTGGATGTCGCCATAGCAATACTAGACAAACACATGTTGCTCTTTCTTCATGAAATAAAGCACAAAGAAGTTAAGCAGCTGTATTCAAGACAAGATTTTTCCTTTAAAAATCTTCATGCTCAGGTTGTGGTGATTTCAATGGGTCAGGAAAGCCAAATGGCATCTCAAGCTTGCTTTCTCTGTGTATGTGCGCACGCGCACACTTAGGCCATCTCCCAGAATTTTAGTAACATCTTTCATTCAAGTTGAGATAAGGGATTAAAAAAAAAAAAAGCCAAACACCAAAACAACAAAAAATCTCACAAAACAGGAAGCACAGGGAGAACTTAGGACAAGCACATGTTTCTTGGAAAACCAGTAGCAGTCAGACCACCCCACTACATAACAAGGAGGGGAAGCATGTAGGCTGAGCTAGCAGAGTTGGCATAGAATACGTTCAAACTATTCAAGTGTACCATTACATTCCTTGTGAAACTAATAGTTAAACTTGCTGG